ATCTGGCACCATTTTGGATTACAAAATGAATAAAAAAAAGTTAACTTAAATAAAGCTTCATCTTCTGTTCTATTGACAGAAAAATGTAAAGCCAGAAAAATAAGAAATAATGTTCAATTTTACAATCCTTGTGAAGCACAACTCCGGATTTTCTTAAGGTCTTTGGGGTTTCTGTAAGGTGTTCTGATTCTGGGCCACAATGAGTCCTTGTTCCGAGTTCAGCTGATGCCCCAGGAGACCCTTGCTCCACTGCTGCTGTCTCACCAACATCGCTACGAGTCCTGATCGGGGCCTACCACACAGCCAAATTGCAGCTGCTGCTTCACTGACATGGCTAGGAGACCCAATCCGGGCCTACCACATGGCTAAAGCTGCAGCCCTGCCTCACTGATACTGCCACCAAGAAGAAGATGAAGTTAAAGAAAAGCAAAGAAGACGAAAACGAAAGAGAAAGAAGGATGTGGCTGACCTGGAGCAGATGGGCTCAGGAGCCGAGACTTTGCCAGCGCCGCCATCTAGGAATCACTTGAAATGTTAACTGCTTCTCTCTTCGCAAATGCTGTCAGACTTGCTGAGTTTCTCCAGTCAATTTCTGTTTCTGTTTGTTTCACATAAGGAGATATATTGGGTCGGATGTCAATATTATACAACCATAAGAAACAGGAACAGGTATAGGCCTTTTTGTTGCTCTGCCATTCAGTAGGATCAGGGCTGAACACACACTCCTTATGTTCACTTTCTTGCATTTTTCCCATTACTCTTGAATCTATCTTGGTCATAACCTAGGTCAAAGAGCTAAATTTTAAGGAGTGCCATTTGGGGGGAGGCAATGTCCTAGTGGTATTATCGCTGGACTGTTAATCCAGAGACCTGGACAATGTTGTGGGGATCCCGGGTTCAAATCCCACTACAGCAGATGGTGGAATTTGAATTCAATAAATATCTGGAATTAAGAATCTAATGATGACCATGAATCCATTGTCAATTGTCAGAAAAACCAACCTGGTTCACTAATGTCCTTTGGGGAAGGAAACTGCCAACCTTACCTGGTCTGGCCTACATGTGACTCCAGACCCACAGCAATGTGGTTGATTCTTAACTGCCCTCTGGGCAATTAGGGATGGGCAATAAATGCTGCCAGGCCAGCGATGCCCTCATCCCATGAATGAATAAAGAAAAAAAAATCATCAACAGGCTCCTCTTAGAATCATAGAATCCCTACAGTGTCTTTGATCACCCATTTGCTTTCTTAAGATGCCCTTGCACTTTCTATGCTCCACTAGCGCTTCCATTGATTTGCATTCTTTGTACCTTTTTAAAACCTGCAGTTGAGTTCTGAATATTTCTCAACAGTCAGGGTTCTACGGGCTTGTTGCTCCTACATTTCACCCTCACGTTTGTTGCACTCACCCTACAGCCAGAACACCCTTCCTCAGGTTCTGGATTCCTCTGTACGGAGGAAGTCTCCTTCCTTCATGTCTTGTCTTCAAGAGACCCATCAAGTCACTTTCCAATAGGATCAGGCCTGATCTGTTTGTGTTTCGAATTCCACATTCCAATCTACTCCCCCAATAACTTTCCATTCCCCTGCCTAACAAGGATCCATCTACCTCCACTGTAAAAATATTTAAGGACCCTGCCACCACTGCCTACTGAGGCAGAGAATTGAAAAGTAATAGGGCAGAATCATACAGGGGCCTCAGCCATTGATGGGATTTGTGTAAGAATCAGGCGAGGCTGAGTGAGATCTCTTTGATGGCTCACGCATCTTGCTGCATCTTTTATGCATTTGTTGAGCCATGCAGCTAGTTGCTAATTAAGGGGGTTTGTTGTTTGTTAAACGAAACTCTGCTCACTAATATTCAGCCTCCCATTTTACCAAACTCGACAACTGGGGAAGGCGTGTATTATTGCTGGACTGTTAATCCGGAGAGCCAGGTAATGTTTTGGAGATCCAGGTTTGACTCTCGTCATGGCAGATGGTGGAATTTGAATTCAACAAAAATCTGGAATTAAATCTGGAACTAATGATGACCATGAAACAATTGTTAATTGTTGGGAAAACCCATCTGGTTCACTAATGACCTTTTGTGAAGGAAACTGCCATTCTTACCTGATCTGGCCTATATGTGACTCCAGAACTACAGCAATATGGTTGATTCTTAACTGCCCTCTGGACAATTAGGGATGAGCAATAAATGCTGGCACAGCCAGCGACACCTTCATCACATGAATGAATAAATAAAAATATAATAAGCTGGGCATTGAGAATTCTTGACATAGCAGAAGAACCGACGACTTCAGCACACCGCTAGCTTTGTGGAACCTCTGTTGCTCAGCGCCAAACACCATCTCAGTCTGGCTGGTGCACATCTTGCTATACTGCAGCTTGTCTCCTTAATCTTGCATCCACTCCAGGACAAGCACACTGCATGTGCAGCAAGCAAGCAGTCCTGTCTCAAAGTGTCAGGGGAGCGGACCCCACTGAAGTCCATGGAGGCACTGTCAGTCTGGGGGTCACGGCACAGTCAGTCAAGGGCAGCCTCCCAAAACCAGACCAGGCAATTGACCATAGTCGGGTGTCCAGTTGGGGTAACATCAGTCAGGGGAAAATGCCGCTGCAGTCCAGGGGAGTGGGTCACTATCTGTCCTACGGCTCTGAGGCAGGAGTTTTTGGGCCAATGAGGTCGGGGAGATCCACAAGCATCATTCGGGTCTGGGCACTTTCTGGGCTTTGAAGGCAATGGGTCATGCTCAATCTGTCAAACGGTCCACAGAAACAAAGGCAAAAGGTGGGCAGTGGGTCGAGGGGGACTGCTGTCATGGAAGGAAGACTCGGGAGCCTATCGGAAACTGCAGGCTTTGGGGAAGATGGATGACAACTGTAAAGGACGCAACAGTTTGTAAGGGGGTGTGGAATACAGTAAAGCATGGATGGGAACAGGGTAATGCAGATGTGGGAAGGGTTTGCCCATAGTCAGGAGCACCCTGGCTTCAAAGGGGGGATAGTGTACGCCAGGGTCTGGGGGAGGGCCAGGTCAGCAATTGCAGGCTTATGTAGATGAGTTGGGCGAGGGATGTGGCAAACAGGGCTCACACGGTGAGCTTTCAGGGAGGGGACATGGATGTTTGGGGTCTCACCAATATATTCAGGCATAGGTTGGAAGCCACTGGTTGAGGAGCATCCACTGTCACTTTCCATTGTGCTGGAAATCGACAGCAGGCAATGGGGAAGAAAATGGCTGCAATCATACTCAGAGTGGACAGGGTAAGTGAGGGAGGAGCTTCAGAATCCACCAATGTTAGGCCCTTGAGAGGGAAACATTACTCATTGATCCAGGCATTGTATAGGACACAGACCTGCAGGGTCCTAATCCCCGGCCATCTTAGAGCATTAGTCCCCTGTTTGTTATGCAGCTCTGTGCCCCGCGCATCACTGAGCACCTCATTCACACCAACAATTTGTGACCCGGAGGTTACAGAAAGATTAGGGACGTTGCAGGACAAGGGGGAATGGTGCCAACAGAACCCGTTGCCCTTATGTGCCATGTTCCTGTATCATCCACTTGCCATGTTGGACTCGAAACATTAACTCTGATAGACGCTGCCAGACCTTCTGAGCTTTTCCAGCATGTTCTGGTTCCATTCTTTAATTGTCTGTACTATGCATTTAGAAACGCTGGGATCACAATAAATACTGCACAGACGTGAGTTATTTGGATTTGGAAGGGTTCAGTTGCACAGGTCTTCAAAATGAACAGGCACTGAAAATAATCAAGAAAGCTAATGGAATGCTGGCCTTTATATCTAGAGGACTGAAATATAAGGATGCAGAAGTTATGTGCACTTGTACAAAACCACGGTTACAGCTCACTTGAGACTACTGTGACCAGATATGGGCACCACACCTTAGGAAGGATATCTTGATCTTGGAGGGAATAACACCTGGACTTCCGGGATTAAGTTATGAGGAGAGATTATACAAATTAAGCCTATGTTCTCTAGAATTTAGAAGGTTAAGGGGTTGTCTGATCAAAATTTTCAAGATAGGGGCACCATTTTAAGATTGAGGTAAGGAGGAATTTATTCTGTCAGAAGGTAGTGAGTCTTTGAAACTCCTTGCCACAGAGAGCTGTGGGGGCAGAGTCCTTGTGTATATTTAACGCTGAGATAGATAAATTCTTGATCGGTAAGGGAATCAAGGGGTTACATGAAAAGTGAATGTGGGGAATGTCAGATAAGTCATGATCCTATTGAATGGTGGAGGCTCTAGGGGCTGAATGGCTTACTCCTGTTCCTATTTGTTATGGTCTTATACAAATAAGAGAGTACAGGGTAGTCCTGTATATCCACTGGTTGGGGATTTGAGAACTAGGGGGCATAGTTGATAAGTTAGGACCAATCTGTTCAGGAGAGATGTTAGGAAGCACTTCCATATACAAAGGGTGGTAGAGGTTTGTATCTCTTTTCCACAAATAGCAGTAGATGCTGTATCAGTGGTTAATTTTAAACTTGAGATAGATAAATTATATATGGAAGTATATAGAGTCAGGCAACAGATCAATTATGACCTCTGTGAATGATGGAATATGCTTGAGTGACTGAATGGCCTACTCCCGTTCCTATGGGAAAGTGCTAACTCCCCTATACTAATAAATTGTCAAGTGGGAAGCAAGATGAGGCAGTAAATTGCTCTCAAATATTAGCAGAACTGGTATGTTGTGAAATGTAAGCTGTTTTGATGCATGCACAGACAAGTTAGCACAGTGTTGGGCAAAAGGATTATTATCCCAGACTTGATGCATCATTGATTCATTGTTTTGAAATGGAATTTTCTTCCTCAGGATTTACTGAGTGAAAGGTGTTGCTCAAGGGGAGGGTCTTAATTTTTAAATAGCTGGGTGTCTTTTAGTTCAGCTCAAGTCTCTGTTGGATGCCATGACAGCAGGGAGTGCTCATAGCAATATTTTAAACTCATTTTTTTTCTTTTGCACTGTAAGGAGTCGGTTTTCGAAGAGTTTGGAGCAAGGCCATTTATTGATTCAGTTTTATGGTAAGTTACACAACTTGCTTTGTCAACAATGCTTCCCTTTACACAAGACAAGTTTGCTTATTGAAAGGAGCAGTTAGTAGTGGGGCTGAAACTCTTCAGCACACTTAACACCTGGATACGTTTGCTGTGAGATCTCAGTTTCCTCTAGCAATTTTTTTTCCCCAGTCTTGCATGTGTGCACTCTGCAAAATTCCCACTGGGATTAGATTGGTGACCAGGCAGAGGTCTACAAATATCAATGGAGTTCAGCGGAGGAAGTATTTCCACTTGTGAAGTCGAGTGTAAAACTAAGATACCATCAATTAAGGGCAGGCACGAATAAAGCTGACAGGGAATTGAGAAGAATCTTCTTTACCTAGAGTGTTATGACAGTGTGGAACTTGATCCCATAAGCGAATGGTTGAGTTTCACAGCACAGATGGGAAAACACAGGGGAAAACACATGACAGCTGAGGGGATAGATGAAGTAGATGGCAGACGGACTGCGTGGAGAGGACAGGTAAAGTAGACCAGTTGGCCTAAATGGTCTATTTCTATGTAAATTTGAAGCTATTGAAGACTCCCAATGTTTTGCACATTTTTGAGTACAGTCTGTAGCTCTCTATTTCTCTCTTAATATCTGTCCATCTAGCCCAGTCCGTAATTATCTTGCTGCCAGGAGACAAAGTTAGAAGCAACAAGAGATAACACTTCTTAACTTAAAATAAGAAATAATTGGCATAAGCTCCATATCAAGGAAAATAAATCATGATTTTAGGGAATAAAAACAGAAAATGCTGGAGAAACTCAGCAGGTCTGGTAGTATCTGTGGAGAGAGAAATAGAGTTAACATTTAGAGTCCAGTCCGACTCTTTTCAAAACTGAATAGGGTTGTAAAATGGTTGTTTTTATGCTTTTGACAGAGTGGGAAAGAAGATCGAGTGGGACAGATTGAGCATCCTCACAGAGCCAAAGACAAAGGGAGTGCTAGTGGTGGTAGAGTTAGAGATGTAAACTGGGTGTAAATAAAGATCTGGAAAGGAGAAAATGGGTCCCCTCTGTTGACAACAAAGCCAACAAGATACAAGACAGACACGGCTGGGGGATGTTAAGAAAAACAGTGTACAGAGTACAAAAACAGTGAAGTTGTAGAACTCAATGTTGTGTGCTAGAGGCTGTAAAGTGTCTAAGAGGAACATGAAACGTTGTTCCTCAAACTTGCATTAAGCTTCTTTGGAAAAGTGTAGCAAGTGCAGAACAGAAATGTATGAGAACAAGTGTTCTATTAGTCATGATCTTGGGATTATTTATAACACAATGAAGTGTCCTGATAGAGGAGTTAATGCAACATAAAGTTGGGCTTTGTGAAATCATACTCTTCCTTTCTCATTTTCTCATTCTGCTTTCTTTTCTCATTCCATCCTGCTGCTTTTTGAAGGCAAAGATTGTTGATCAAAGGACCATTATAATTATACCTTGTTATCTGCTTGCGGAGTAGAATGCTTGATATCAATGATTTAGATGAGGGAGCTAAATGTAATATCACCAAGTTTGCAGCCTACACAAAGCTGGAGTGGAAGGTGAGCTGTGAGGAGGATGCAAAGATGCTTCAGTGTGATTTGGGCTAGTTAATGGGCAAATGCATGGCAGTTGCTGTATAATGGGGATAAATAGGAGGTTATCCACTTTCAGAGCAAAAACAGGAAGGCAGATTATTATCTGATGGGTGATACTTTGGAAAGGGGGAGGTGCAATGAGTGGGGTGTACTTGTATACCAGTCACTAAAAGTAAACATGCTGGTACAGCAGGCAATGAAGGAGGCAAATTGTATGTTGGCCTTCATAGGGAGCATGGATATCTTTCTGTAATTGTACAGGGCCTTGGTGAAACAACACCTGGAGTACTGTGTGCAGTTTTGATCTCTGTATCTGATAAAGGATATTCTGGCTATAGAAGGGAGAACAAAGGTTTACCAGATTTATTTCTGGGGTAGTAGGACTGGTGTATGAACAGAGACTGATCAGTCAAGATTATATTCACTGGAGTTCAGAAGAATTAGGGGCAAGTCATAGAAACCTGCACAATTCTAACAGGACTATACAGGGTAAACACAGCAAGGATGTTCCCGATGAACAGGGAGTCCAGACCATGGGTCATAGTTTAAAGATATGGAGGCCATTTAGTATTGAGACGAGGAGAAATCTCTTCACTCAGAGATAGATGAGCCTGTGGAATTCTCTGTCATAGGAAGCGGTTGAGACCATAATATTGAATGTTTTCAAGGAGGAGTTAGAGCTGTTAGGGCTGAAAGGACCTAAGGATATGGGGAACAAGAGGCAATAGCAGACTGAGTTGGATGATCAGCCATAATCATCTTGGGGCGCAGAGTGGGCACGAAAGGCTGAATGGCTAACTCCTGCTCCTGTTTTTGATGTTCTGACGTAGGTTATTAAGCCTCAGGGTTTTAGGCAGCTCCTCTCCACCACTTCTAAACAAGATCCTGTCCAGCTTCTTGTCCAGACGTACTGTGTTGTAACTCTTAACAGATGTGCCCATTTGCCAGTTGCGTTCACCCTCCTGCCTTGGATACTTGCTGAAGTTGATCAAACATATTGAAAAATAAATCTCATCAAGGCTGTGACCTTGATTATAAATTATAGAGTCACAGAATTGTACAGTACGGAAACAGACCCTACGGTCCAACTTGTCCACGCCAAATAGGTATCCTAAATTGATCTAGTCCCACTTGCCAGCATTTGGCCCATATCCGTCTAAACCCTTCCTATTCATATACTCATCCAGATCCCTTTTAAAAATTAAGTTTGAAATATGTAAATTTCACGACCTCCCAACAAAAAAGTGTCTGAAATCTTGACTGAGGCCTGTTGATTCATAGAATCCCTACAATATGGAAGCAGGCCATTTGAGTTCACACCAATTCTGCAAAGAGCATCCTACCATATCCCTATAACCCTGCATTTCCTGTGACCAATCCACCTAGCCTACACATCCCTGTACTGTAATGGGCAATTTAGCATGTCCAATCCACCTAACCTGCATATCTTTGGGCTGTGAGATGAAATGAGAGCACCCAGAAGAAATCCATGTAGACATGGGGAGAATGTGCAAGCTCCATATAGACAGTCTCCCAAGGGTGGAACTGAACCGGGGTCCCCAGGCACTCTGCTAACCACTGACCCACCATGCCTCTCAAGGTATTTTTCAAATGTTGGCGTCAGAACAGTGGGGAGAATTCCACCTGCTCTTCTTCAAGATAGTGAGAATGAGATCCTTCACATCCCAAGGAGGCAGTCTGGGATCTTAGTTTAGTATCCCATCTGAAAGCTTCCAACGGCACTGCATCTGCTACGTACTGCATTGTTGCTCCAATCTCTGGGTGTGATCCAAGGGCATTCTAAATTGGGATTCACTTGAAGATGTTGGCCCCCATGTGGAATGTATATTGCCTAATGAGGACAAGAGCACATTATAGTTGAATACCTTCCTGGCAAATGAAGAATAGCTGCTTGGGACTTACAAAGCTGCACAAATGGAAGACCCTTTGGGACATAAAGTGGAAATATTGACAGATAGGTTAACTAGTTAACCATTCTTCAGGGAAGGAAATCTTCTGACCTTACCTGGTCTGGCCGACCTGAGACTAAAGACCCACAGCAACATAGTTAACTCTTAATGGCCTTCCAAAATGGCCCAAAGCAGCTCAGCTTTATCAGAGATTAAAAAAAACTGTAGATGCTGCAATCCAGGTAGACAAACAGGACACTGGAAGAACACAGCAAGCCAGGCAGCATGTGGAAGAAAGGAGCAGTCAACATTTTGGGTATTACCCTTCTTCAGGACAGCTTTATCAGAACCTGGTTTAACTGTGGGATCAGAGTCCTTGTGTATATTTAAGGCTGAGAGGGATAGACTCTTGGTCAGTCAGGGAATCAAGTGTTACAGGAAAGGGAAGAAAGAGCGGAGGTGTGGTTATATTGGATCAGCCATAAACATATTGAATGGAGGAGCAGCAATAAATGATGTTCCTTTTCAGACAGGCTTCCTGACAGTGCCCATGCGGAGGTATAGGGATTTGAACCCATGCGAGAGGCAGCAGTGAATATGTTTCAGAAATGTCCGAGTGGATGTGGAGGAGTTCAGAGGAGAATGTTACCTGATCATTTCTCATTTTGTTGCTGGACTCACTGCACAACCTGTCAGCTCATCACTGCACTGAACAATTCCCAGTATGTAACAACTCAAACCAACCACCTAATAAGCAGCAGGCTGGGCATACCTGTGGTTTTAGGTCTGGCCAACACGAGACAGGTTGAGAGATAGTAGGAACTGCAGATGCTGGAGAATCTGAGATAACAAGGTGTAGAGCTGGATGAACACAGCAGGCCAAGCAGCATCAGAGGAGCACGAAAGCTGACGTTTCTGAAGAAGGGTCTAGGCCCGAAATGTCAGCTTTCCTGCTCCTCTGATGCTGCTTGGCCTGCTGTGTTCATCCATCTCTACACCTTGTTATCTATGAGACAGGTTAATCTTGTTTATGTCCCTATTTCCTCTGAGTGATTCTGCATAGAGCATTTTGTCTGATTCTGGACACCACAGGTTTGGAAGGAGATGTGAAGAATTCAGAAAGGGAGCAACAAAGACGAGAGTGAGGGAATTGAGTTGGATGGATTTATTAGAGAAGCTGGGGCCATTCTGTTTACTGTAGAGGAGACTGAGGCAGGGGGGGACCATAATTGAGATGTATAAAATGAAGATGGGCATGGATAGGATAGATAGGAAGAACGTTTTCCCTTGGTAGATGGATCAATAACCAGGGGCCATAGATTTAAGGTAAGAGGCAGGTGGTTTAGACAAAATATGAGGAAAGATTTTTTACCCAGAGGGTGATGGGATTCTGGAACTCATTACTTAAGGGTGGTAGAGACAGAAATCCTCAACATTTAAGAAGTATTTAGGTGCATACTTGCAATGTCAAGGGATACAATGCTGGAAAATGGAATTAGAAGAGTTAGGTGGTTCATTTTGACTAGCACAGGCTCAGTGGACTGAAGGACCTTTTATGTGCTGTAGAACTCTATAAATCTATGAGTGTATGAGGTAATGGGGGATTTGCTAAGAGGCAAAGCAAAATTATGAATTGCTGAGGTAACCTAAAAAAGGAGAAAGGGTTTCCAATTGGCTGACAGGCTGATAAGTGGACAGCACAGGGTCAAGGTGGTTGCAAGAGAACCAGAATTAACATGAGGGGGAGGCTGGATAGGCTGGGATGTTTTTCACTGGAGCATTGCAGGTTGAGGTGTGTCCTTATAGGGGCTTTTAAAATCATGAGGGGTATAGATAAGGTGAATGGCAGGTGTCTTTTCCCTATCATGGGCGATTTCAAGACTACAGGACATATTTTTAGGTGAGAGGAGAAAGATTTAAAAAGGACATGAGGGAGAACTTTTTACACAGAGAGGGGTTCGTGTATGGAATGAAATTCCGGAGCAAGTGCTGGATCCGGGCACAGTTATAGCATTTAAAAAACATTTGGATAAGTACACAAATAAGAAAGGTTTGGAGGGATACAGGCCAAGTCCAGGCAAGTGGGACTAGTTTAATTTAATTTAATTTTAATTTGGGACTATGGTTAGCATGGACTGGTTGGACCAAAGGGTCTGTTACCATGCTGTATGCCTCTGTTGAGCGTTCAGGATTTGTGATAAACTGCCTGGTAGGATACAAGTTCAGAAGCAAGGTTCACAGGAAAGATAAATAAATCTTGATGAGAAAAGAAATTGCAGCGATATGGGGAAAAAGCAGGGGAATAGGACTAACCAGATTGCTTCCTGAAAGAATTAGTACAGAGGGCCTGAATGGCATCCTCCTATAATGCATGATTTGATAGTTCTAAGTATAATATATACTTCTGGCTATCAGTGATTAGTAAACAGGTCTTCTACACAGCGCTGAGGACCAGCTGGTGCATTAACGAAGGCCTGAGGTTTTCGGGGTCTATAGTACTTCAGACAGGGTTGCTGTGCACTGGGTGGGGGAGCAGTGTTGCTGAACACAGCTTGGGGACAATGTTGCTGTACACTGGTTGTGGGGGGCATGAGGACTGCTGTGCACTGGCTGTGGGGGCAGTGCTGCTGTTCACTGGCTGAGGGAGCAGTGCTGCTGCTCTAAGGAAATCAATCCCAGCCTATCTAGTCTCTCTTCATAGCCGAATCGCTCCAGCCAAGGCAACATCCAGTAATCTTTCTAGAGATCACATGTTTCCTATATGGCAATAATATCTTTCCTGAGACCACAACTGCACACAGTACTCCAAGTGTGGTCTATACGCAAATCTTCTTGCGATGAAGGCTAACATTCCACAAGCCCACCTAATAGAGAACTGCACCTGCATGTTAGCCTTGAGTGACTTAAAGGGTCGTTATAACGATCAGGGATAGCTTCACAGTCATCAATACAGTGTATTATGTCGTTTCAATTTCAGATTTTTTTAATGATTAGAGTTTTAGTTCCATCAGTGGCCATGGTGGGTTTTGAAACCATGTCCTAACAGGATTGGTTGGGGTTGCTACTGCTCTAATTAAGTTAGCACTCAGCATTATCTCCCACTGCAGTGATTTCTTTGTTTAGCTGTGACTCCTGGTTTCGGGTATAACTGAGATTATGAATTTGACCATCTGTGATAAGCTTGACCCTGTGTTGTCGTCTTCCAATTTGTTGTGGTATTTTTTGTGTTGCTAAAGCAGGTGTTGTTCCTTTCGAGTGCAAGTCTGGGGAAATGATCATGGATTAGAAAGAAATGGCAGAAGTGTTGAACAGACTTTTTGCATCTGTCTTCACTGTGGATGCTTTTAAAAAAATTCTCATAGGTACTTGAAAAGAAGTGAAGGAAAGGAGGAATTTAAAACATTTACCAGCATTAAAGAAAAAGGAAAAATATTACTCCTCGAAAGGTCCCCAGGATCAAATGGACTGTGTCTAGAATCTTAAAGAAGTAGTTGCAGGGAGCATATAGGCATTGGTTATAGTCTTCCAAAATTTCTTAGATTCTGGAAACAAATTGGAAAATTATAAACATAATATCATTATTCAAGAAAGGAGGAAGACTGAAAAGTGGAAATGCCTGTTAACACTGGTATCTGTCATGAGCAATTTGCCAGAATCCATTACAGAGGGTTATAGAAGGATACTTAGAAAATGGATCAGGCAGAGTTGAACTAACTCTGGAATGGAAGTAGAAATTGCGTTTGACTGATTTCTTGGAACTTTTTGAGGAAATAACAAGGAAGGTGGGTAAACCAGAACCTGTTGATATGGTGTACTTGAATTTCCAGAAGATATTTGACAAAGTACCACATCAAAGGTTGCTCTGTAAAATAAAAGCACATGGTGTAGGGATAGCATATTAGTATGGGTAGAAGATTGGTAGCAAACAGAAAGCCGAGAATAGGCACAAATGGATCTTTCTCAGATTGGCAAGGTCTAACAAGTGGAGTGCCACAGGGATCAATGCTGGGGTCTCAACTATTCCTAATCTATAGTGATGACTTTGAAAAGGCCAAACGTAAAATGGCTGAACTTGCCAATGTCACCTATGATATCATTGTGGGGTAGACTTAAACAGTGCAACACCTGAAACTCATCACCAAATTAAAACTGGTTTATTTTGATTGTTAAACAATGTCCACAAGGAGGTGGTATTACACTACTCATTCAAGAAACACCTCAACGAATAAGGGAATAGAGGGATACAGATCCTGTCAGTGAAGACAGTTTTAGCATGGAAAGGAAAAATGTGTTGGCATAGGCTTGGAGAGCCAAAGGGCCTGTTCCTGTGCAGTATTGTTCTTTGTACTCTTTGTTCTCTTCCCTAATTTGCCAATGACAACAAGATGGTTGAGAAAGTGAGTTTTTGAGAGTCTGAACGATACAGACAGGAGTGGCCAAAATTTGGCAGATGAAGGGCAGTGCGGGTAAATGTGAACTTTTCCACTTGGGCAGGTCAAATTGAAATGCAGCTTTATTGTAGAACTGAGTGGTACAGAGGACTCTGGATGTCCAGGGACATGAATTCACAAAAGAATAGCAGCATATATTCAAGAAGAACATAGATGTGGTTCTTCAGGGCAAAGGGAATAAAGGATATGGGGAGAAAACAGGAACAGGAGACTGAGTTGGGTGATCAGCCATGATCATATTGAATTGTGGAGCAGGCTTGAAGGGCCAAATGGCCTATTCCTGCTCCTTTTTCTATCTTTAGGAAGGTAAATGGAAACATTTATTACTATCACTAGACTATTATTCCAGAGCCCCTGGTAATGTTCTGGGGACCCGGGTACAAATCCTGCCATAGCTGATGGCAGATTTTGAATTCAGTAAGACAAAATCTAGAATCAAGAATATAATAATGACTATTGTCAATTGTTGGAAAAAACCACCTGGTTCACTAATGCCCTTTAGGGAAGGAAATTTCCGTCCTTACCTGATCTGGTCTACATGTGACTCTAGACCCACAGCAATGTCGTTGACTCTTAACTGCCCTCTGGGTAATTAGGGATGGGCAATAAATGTGGCCCAGCCAGTAACATCCAAAGTCTGTAAATGAATGAAAAACAAAATTGATCCTGAGCGAAACAAAACAATGAACTGCAGAAGCTGGAAATCACAAACAAAAACAGGAATTGCTGGAAAAACACAGCAGATCTGACAACATCTGTGGCGATAAAGCAGAGTTAACGTTTTGGGTCCAGTGACCCTTCTTCAGAACAGCAGGGTTGACACTGGGAGGACATTTCTTCTTGTGGGGAGTCTGGAACTATGGTACATAGTTTAAGAAGAAGGGGTTTCCCTCTTTAAGACAAGGATAATTTTGTTCTCTCTTGAAGGCCATTAATATGTGGAATTTTCAAGCCATACAGCATTGGGCACTAAGTCATTGTAAGTATTCAAGTTTAAATTGGATGCATTTTTGGTCCTCATGCTTACTGGGGTCAGATAAAAAGGTGGAGCTATGACCATAGTCAGATCAGACAGGATCTTAGTTTTAAGGGGCTGACTGGTGTACACCCATACCATGCATGCTGTTTCTGTGTTCTGAAGTTAATTTCAGGAGGCTTGATGGTTGTTTTCTCTTCGTTTCTTCCAGTGTTTTTGTGCTGAAGGTCTCACTCTTCCACAATGAGTTGGTCCTTCCTGACGAGACTCCTCGAGGAGATCCATAATCACTCCACGTTTGTTGGCAAGGTCTGGCTGACCGTCCTCATTGTCTTCCGCATTGTTTTGTTGGCAGTTGGTGGTGAGCCTATCTACCATGATGAACAAAGCAAGTTCACATGTAACACTCAGCAACCAGGTTGTGAGAATGTTTGCTACAATTCCTTTGCACCCCTGTCCCACGTCCGGTTCTGGGTCTTCCAGATCATCATGATCTCAGTGCCATCCGTCATGTACCTTGGCTATGCCATACACCGGATAGCCCGGATGGAGGGTGCCCAGCCAAAACCCAAGAGAAAAATACCCATTGTGCATCGGGGAGCTGCCCGGGATTATGAGGAGGCAGAGGGTGATGACGAGGAGGACCCCATGGTCTGCGAGGAGATTGAGCATGAACCCGAGACTGAGGCTGACAAGAAAACTCCTGAGAAGAAGCCACATGATGGCAGGAGGCGTATCAAGGAAGATGGACTTATGAAGATGTACGTCTTCCAGCTCCTGATGAGAACTTTGTTTGAAATGGGTTTCCTGGCTGGCCAATACTTTCTGTACGGGTTTGAGGTGCTTCCTGGCTTTGTGTGCAGTACGATTCCTTGTCCATACACCGTCGACTGTTTTGTGTCACGTCCCACAGAGAAAACCATCTTCCTGTTGATCATGTATGTGGTCAGTAGTCTCTGCTTATTGCTCAACTTTGCCGAGCTCTTCCACCTTGGCCTCGGTGGCATCAGGGATGGCTTGAGGGGCAGGCGGCAGGCCTCCCGTTCCCATCGCCCCTCCAAGAGTACCCCTTACGCCCCTCCGGGCTACCACTCTGTGCTTCGCAAGGACAAGACCAAGCTGGGCAATGGGAATGTGCCGTACCGGGACAACCTTGGTGGACTAGGGCCAGGTAACTTTGAGATGTCCGAGGCAGTTCACCGACACTTAAAGCTCGCACAGGAGCAGCTGAACATGGCGTATCGGGCATCAGGAGAGCTCCCTCACCAACCGAGGAGTGGCAGCCCTGAGTCAAATGGCACAGCTGTTGAGCAGAACCGACTGAACTTTGCTCAGGAGAGGGATGGTGCCTGTGCTGACAAAGCAGGTAAAATCATTGATCATTTATTGAGGTCAATCATGTTTAAATTGTGAGCCATGAAGCTTTGGGCTCAAATCCCATCAAAGTCTTTGGCACAAAATCTAGGCTGATACTCGATGTAGTAGTGGGGAGTGCTGCTGAAGGTGCTGTCTCTTGGGTGAGATGTTTAACTGAGGAGCTGTTAGTTCTCTGAGGCAGGTGTAAAAGATGGCACTATTTAAAGAAGAGATGGGGTGTTCCACAGTCTAGGGGTTGATATTCATTCCTCCAAACAGAATTGCTGGAAACCTATTACTTGGCAATATATTTGTTGCAAGCTCACGTGGTCTTACTGTATGCAAATTAGATTTCCTACATGAAAACAGTGACTATATTTTAAACGTGCATCATTGACTGTAAACGATTTTGGGGTGCCCTGTGTTTATGAGCCCTAGGAGTTGGAGGCATCTGTTGGCCACTTGGCCTTCAATACACTGCTCTGCCATTTGATATGGTCAAAGCTGATCTGATTGTGACGAGATCTCTACCTTTCAGCCAGTCCTCCACCCACGAACCCTTCACTTCCTCGTTAATCAGGAACCTTGAATGACCCTGCCTCCACCTGCTTTCTGAGGAAGAACATCCCAAATGAAGTCCTTTATTAAATGGAGATTGTTGGGTTGTTATTAGCTGAGGCTATGAAGGGTTGCACAGACACGGCAGGGAAATGGTGTTACAGACGACCCATGATCGATTTGAATGGTGTAAAAGGGGTTAAATGGCTTCTTCACGTTCCTGTGTCCTTACCTAGTTTGCAACTTCTTTCTGTTTCTGACGTCATCAATGAAGACTCCACTCATATCTCCTCATAAGACTCATCTCTGGAATTAATCTAATGATTCTTTTGTGAACTGCCTCTGACGTAATTTCAAAAATCCGAAAGAACTGTGGATGCTGGAAATCAGAAACAAAAACAGAAATTGCTAGAAAAACTCAACAGGCCTGGCAGCATCTGTGGAGTCAAAGCAGATTTAACGTTTCAGGTTCAATGATTAGCGACCTAAAATGTTAACCCTATTTTCTCTCCACAAATGCTGCCAGGCCTGCTGAGCTTTTCCCGCAATTTCTGTTTTTGTTTTCAATCTAATAATTTTTTTTCTAGAGCCATTGAAGTGCAGTGTGTTAGAAAGCAAACTTGTACAGATAACAATGAGACCATAGATGGTCACCACAGCACTATGTCAGTTTGGTCACTGCGAGTGACCATCCAGATTATAGGCTCAGGTTTTTGGAGTGGGAACTCAAACACACACTCAATCTTCTGACTCTGAAGTAAGAGAGCTGCCCCGTGAGAACCATGGCCAACATGAACATTGAAAATAGATTAAATAGTGCCTCCTGGCTTTTACTGAGTGTCAGTGCAGCCCTTTCACTTGTCAGACCTGGGTTTCAATTGAGTGTGGATTGTAGATGTTCTACTTTGATAACATCTACTTTAGATGTTTACTTCAATGAGTTGGTGGGCTTTTTCTATAATTACAGACTATGTATTTTGAGCAGGTTTCTATTGAAAAAGTAACAGACAACTGTAAAGCTCAGAAACAGGTCCTTCAGCCTAAAATGATGCCATTCTAAAGCTGTTCCCATCTGCCTGCACATGGTCCATATCCCTCTATTCCCTGCCTGTTCATATGTCTGTCTAATTGCCTCTTACACATTGCAGTAGTATCTGCATCTACCACCTCCCTGGCAGCGCATTCCAGACACTTACCATCCTTTGTATAAAAAAAACTTTCCTCGCATGTCTCCCATATACTTTCCCTCTTTCATCATAAGCCTATGCACCTTACTATTTGACATATTCACCCCAGGAAAAAGACTCCGACTATCCACCCTATCCATGTCTCTGATAATTTTATATACTTCTATCAGGACGCCCCTCAGCCTCTAGCGAAACAATACAAGTTTGTCCAACCTCTCCTTATAACTAGTACACTCCAAACCAGGCAACATCCTGGTAAACCTCTTCTGCACCCTCTCCAAAGCCTCTACACCCTTCCTATGGTGTGGCAACCAGAACTGCACACAATCGTCCAAATGTGGTCAAACTAAAATCTTATATAGCTGCAACATGACTTGCCAAGGGAAGGTTTGAGCGACAATCTGATGGCTGGATTTCAGAACCTAACAGGTATGGATCCTGCAGGACCAGGGATCTTTCACTTGGCCTAGAACAGTAAAGATAAAATCACCATAGCTCTATCAAAACATAGGGCTGCATTCTTATTAGGGAGAGACAACTGGTAATAGTTTAACCTGAGGGTCACTGTGCCTCAGGCATGGGGGAAAGGTCTTCATGGTAACGTCAGCCAGTGCAAGCATCTCTCACTAGCTGTCTAGCCAACTGAGCTAACCAACCCTTTCCAGAATAGTAGAACCCCTGAAATAAAAGCACAATACTGCAGATGCTGGAATTCTGAAATAAAAACAGAAGAGTGGACCTGTTTTCCCCTTTCTCTTTTACATCTATTATACCTCAATCTCTCTCCTTTACCATCATTAACACTCACTTCGTCTTTTGCTCTGGGCAACCTCACTGTCTATTCCACTTGCTCCTTGTCCCCCACTGTTAACAGCATACAAAAAAAAGCACCATTTTACATCCCCTTTCAGTTCTGAACAAGAGTCATCCTGGCCCTGAAAAGTTAACTCTGTTTCTGTCTCCACAGATGCTGTCAGACCTGGTGAGTTTCTCTTGCACTTTCTGTTTTTATTTCAGATTTCCAGCATTTTATTTTGAGTTTGTTCAGCACTTTCTGTTTTTATTTCAGATTTCCAGCATTTTATTTTGAGTTTGTTGAGCACTTTCTGTTTTTATTATTTGAAGCTGACATTATGTTAATATTAGGTAGGTGCTGAGGCTGTGTGTAAGGTGCTTTCTCCCAGACACCATGTGACACAGAGGGAGGCCATTCAGCCCATTGCATGGCTCTCTGTGTAGCACTCTCCAGCCCAGACCATTCCCAGACTGGATTCCTGCAGTAAATGTGATCTTATTGGGAAAGGTACAGGTAGATTTTCTATCCGCTTGCTCCTGATTTTCCTTACTTGAAGAATCTCTGTGCCACAGTGGGAAACTGTTCCCATCCCCAGAACTAACTTGTTTAGCTGCTGGAGTGTGAATGGTCACAAGGAACCATCTCAGTACAAAGAACAAAGAACACCCTTCCTATTTCTGAGCTCTGCCCATATTGCCTCACTGCTCGAGTCCTCCATAGTGCCGTCCCTCAGCACAGCTGTGATATCCTCTTTGACCAGTAATGCAACTCCTCCACCCCTTTTACCTCCCTCTCTATCCACCTGAAGCATCTATATCCTGGGATATTTAGTTGCCAATCTTGCTCTTCTCTCAACCAAGTCTCAGTAATAGCAATAACATCATACTCCCAGGTACTAATCCAAGCCCTAAGTTCATCTGCCTTACCTACTACACTTCTTGCATTAAAACAAATGCATCTCAGACCACCTGTCCCTTTGCGTTCATCATCTGCTCTCTGCCTACTCTTCCCCTTAGTCACACTGACTTCATTATCTAGTTCCTTACAGGCTTTAGTTACTACCTCCTTACTGTCCACTAACCTCCTCATTTGGTTCCCAACCCCCTGCCACATTAGTTTAAACCCTCCCCAACAGCGTTAGCAAAAGCACCCCCTAGGACATTGGTTCCAGTCCTGCCCAGGTGTAGACCGTCTGATTTGTAATAGTCCCACCTCCCTCAGAACCGGTCCCAATGTCCCAAAAATCTGAACCCCTCCCTCCTGCACCATCTCTCAAGCCACTCATTTATCCTGCCTATTCTTTCATTTCTACTCTGACTAGAACGTGGCACTGGTAGCAATCCTGAGATCACTACCTCTGAGGTCCTACGTTTTAACTTGGCTCCTAACTCCCTAAGTTCTGCTTGTAGGACCTCATCCCGTTTTTTACCTATATCATTGGTGCCTATATGCACCACGACAGCTGGCTGTTCACCCTCCCCCTTCAGAATGTCCTGCAGTCGATCTGAGACATCCCTGTAAACATTGGAAACACAGAAAAGCCTTCTACCGGACAATGGTGATACATTACTGCCCCAAAATAACATTGAGAGCTGCTGCTATTTGTGGGAGAGCTGAAATGTTTGCAAGATGCACCAGAGGGAACCAGAGATGGGGGTATACTGGCCTGTGCTGACTGATCTACATTGACACTCCATCCAACAATGATTTTATTTAACATCTTTGTCCTTGTTTTCCCAATTCCCCTATGCCCTCACCACCTCTTTAACCTCATCCAGTCCTACAAACCTCCAGGATCTCTTCTCTCAATACATTCTGCCGTCAGTAATTTCTTTACTGGTTAAGTGTTATGTAATTGATCATGTAGATGGTATTGGATTATAGATCAACTAATTGATAGGTGTAACATGCTCAAGGGGCTCAATGGCTGCTTCCTGTTTATATGTAATAACTTGAAGGGCTGAATGGCCTCCTCCTATTCCTGTTACCACCTCAGGGGCTGAATGGCCTCCTGTCTTTGTGTAACAGGCTCAGGCATCTTAATGTACTCCCTTTGTTCTTACAACTCTTTCTGATCTAACTGATGAATTGGGTAATCCACTTGATCCCTCACCATCCTACTGGATAACTACATCTTCTGTTACTTTTCACAGGTCTGCGTGGGTGACGCGGATGGAACGGGCTCTTCAACCTTGAGATTTGGAGAGAGTCAACGCTTGAAGCAACTAAGGGACCTCGACTGGAAAGATTCACATTTCATTCTCACTCTTTCGGCTTTAACATCACCAACTTGTAAAACTACTGGAATGAGCCGGATTGGGAGGGGACACTGGATTTAGGGCTGGGTGGGAGGGCAGGGTGACAGGGATTAGGGTGAAGTTTAGACAAACTGGACAGGTGTTGAGAATTTTAAAACCAGCCAATTGGCTTATACAGCTTGGTGCTGTTTTGTTTGATATTCCAGAACATTCCGAATCAAGTCCAGTAATTGTTGGACCAACTGTAGGGTCTAAGACTTATCTTGTAGTGCTTGAGGCACTGAGAGCCAGGTTTCATAATTGAAAGGGAGACCCCTTGCTGGAGACTGGGGAAGGAGCTGAGGGGCTGACCCTCTCCTTAAGCAATACAATCAGGTACAATCCAACAGAACTGGCTTAGCCAGGTAGCATGTGTAGTTTTTTTATTTTCATTATTGAATTCATCATTCATTCTGTTTCTCTGGTCTTGGGTTAGTTTAATTCTTCATGAAATCTTTACTTTTTTTGTTGTTGGGTTTAGGCAATTTTTAAAAAAATAATCTGTAGTGATAGGACAATTAATGACAAATTGTTTTGTTTACAATCTTAGAACATTCCAGAACATTGAGCGAGAGCAACAATGAACACAGTTACTTTTGTTGATGATTTTATTTCTTCCTTTTGGTACTTTTGATAAAATGTTTTGCTTCATTTGTGACTATTTCACTAGTTTAGGCCAATTGGGCCTTCCTCAGCCTTGAATTATCTCCAGCTTACCAAGTGGTTCCACTAATTTTTTGGGGAGTATGTGTGTGAGTTTTTCCCTTTTCATCTCACAACTTAATTCTTGTTGAAGCTAATATTCTTCCTTGTTTTCTAAACACAAATCTTCAGCTGCTCAGTGGCTCTGAAATTATAGGAGACCATTCAGTCATACAAGCCCATTCTACCATTTATCTAGAGGGTTGTATCTTAAAGATACTTTGGTTCCCTTTCACAGCTGAAATCAAACAATTTTCCAATTGAAGCATTGAAATTGGAGCAAGTGGAGGCCATTTGACCTTTTGAGCCTGTTTTTCTTATTCATTGGATGTGGATTTTTCTGGTTAGGCCAGCATTTATTATCCCAGAGAGCAGTTAAGAGTCAACCACATTGCTGTAGGTCTGGTGTCACACGTAGGCCAGACCAGGTAAGGCTCTTTTCTTCCGTAAAGGGCATTAGTGAACCAGATAGGCTTTTCCTGACAATTGACAACAGTTTCACAGTCAGCATTAGACTCTTTATCCCAGAATTTTATTGAATTCAAATTCCACCATCCACCATGGCAAGCCTGAACCCAGTCTCCATAACATTACCTGAGCTTCTGGATGAATAATCTAGTGAAAGTACCACTAGACCATCACCTCACTGGTCATGCCATTCAATTTGATTATTGCTGAACTGATTTTTGGCCCTAATTCCACATTCCCACCGAACCCCAATAACATTTGGCTTCCTTCATACTCGGGAATCTTCTATCTCAGCCTTAAAAATGTTAAGTAATCTCGTCAACCCAAAATTTCAAGAAGAGAGTTCCACAGACTCAGGACTCTCTGGGAGAAAAAAGTTGTTGTAATTTTTGTCTTAAGTTGGAAATCCCTTATTCTTAAACTGTTCATTAGTTCTCTCCTGTATCTCATTGGAAGGAAAAGACCCCTCAGAAAGTTTTATGTCTCAATAAGACCAAACTCTCATTCTTCTAAACTCTAATGGATAAAGGCTCAATGTGTCCAACCTTTCCTCATAAGACAAGCCTCTCATCCCAGAAATGAATCAACCAAACCTTTTAGGAATGTTCATAATGCATTTTCTAAATAAGGACACCTATTATACAATACTCAAATATTCTATATGTGGCCTCACCAAGGCCCTGTACAGTTGTACTAAAACTTCCTACATTTTCTGTAAGAGGATTGGAATGTAAATGCTAACATTCCATGTATGTTCCTAATCACCTGCTATACTTGTCTACCAATTTTTTGTGATTCAAAGTATAAAGACACCTGGGTCCCTCTGCACCTCAGGGTTCTGCAATCTCTTTCCATTCACACAATGTGCTGTTTTTCTATCCTCCTTGCCAAAGTGGACCAATCTGCATTCTGCCACATTATACTCTGATCTGCATTCTTTCCCGATTCACTTAACTTACCTGTATCTTTTTGTAGACTCATTTTGTCTTCTTCACAACTTACATTTCAACCTATTTTAATGCCATTAGTCAATTTAACAACCATACATTCAGTCCCTTCATGGTCCACAAGATGTTTGACAAGACCTCAGGCACATCCTGCTCCTATTTGCAGTTCAGTTTAGCTTGGAGTCTGCTTTCAGCTGATGCTGTGAAGGGGTGAGCAGTGTTGTGCCTCTCCAGCTGAGACTCCATGTTTTGACCTCACCTCTTCCCAAGGACATTCTCTCTTGTGCAGAATGGCTGCAAGGACTTGAGTGTCAGAATCCGGCTGAAGTCGAAGTTGTGTCTTCTCGTGGTCCAGCTGCAGCCATACTATGTGACTGCCTCCTTTCCTGAGTCTGGTTTAAATCCTCACCATACTGCTGCCAGGTAACTGTGTTCCTGCTCCAGTGAACACCTCATTTTAGCTTGTCCCTTGTTCTGGTATTCTTCTGAAAAGGGCCAGATATAGAAACATACAAACAAGGGGCAGGGCTAGACCATTCAGCACTTCAAGCCAGTCTGCCAGTCAATATGATCATGACTGATCATTCAACTTTATAACCTGTTTCCATTTTCTCCCCATACTCTTTGATCTCTTTAACCAAGAACTGTATCTCAACTTCTCTTGAAAATATTCAATGTTTTGCCCTCATTTGCTTCCTGTGTCAGACAATTCCACAGGCTCACCACTCTGTGGGTGAAAAAAATTCTCCTCAATTTAGTCCTAGATGGCCTATCCTGTGCCCTTAAATTGTGACTGCTGGTTCTGGACTCCATGGTTATCGGGAACATCCTTCCTGTGTTTACCCAGTCTAGTCCTGTTAGAATTTTATAGTTTTCTAAACTCCAGTGAACGTAGTCCTAACCAATCCAGACTGTTTTCATACAGCAGTTCGATCATCCCAGGAATCAGTCTGGTAAACCTTGTTGCACTCCCTCCACAGACAGAACATCCTTCCTCAGATACAGAGACCAAAGCTGCACACGATACTCTATGTATGGTCTAGACTCCCAGAGTGGTGTAACGTTTTACTTCAACTCTTTAAACCTCTGTCATTTGTTGGGACTAGAAGGAGGCCATTCAACCCCTCCATACTGTTGCGCTTTCAAATTCGATCATGTGAACTGTGGTTCAAATCCAAATGAAGGGATGCCCAAGGTTCCAGTTATGGTTAGACTTTAGCTTGAAGTTTCATCATGAGAATTACAAACTCCCACAGTCTCTGGTGGATGGTATAGACAGTAACCTAATCATCATTAGAGGCTGATATATCTGCAATATACAGCATAGAAGCCAAGAGTTCACAAAAAATATCTTTCCAAACACACGATATATCTATTGTTGAGATTTTCCATGTTCCCAATACCTATGGGAAGTAACGGATTGTTTACTCCCAATTTTTTTTTCATTTGTTCATGGCATGTGGATGTCACCAGCTAGGCCAGCATTTATTGCCCATCCCTAATTGCCCAGAGGGCAGCTGAGAGTCAACCATATTGCTTTGGGTCTGGGGTCACATGTAGTCCAGAGCAGGTAACGATGGCAGTTTCCTTCCCCAAAGGACATTAATGAACCAGTAAGTTTCTCCTGACAATTGACAATCATTTTATGGTCATCAATAGCCTCTTAATTCCAGATTTTTATTGAATTCAATTTCCACCATCTGCCATTGAGGGATTTGAACCTCAGTTCCCAGAACATTTTTTTGGTCTCCTGATTAATGATTCTCAATCTCCAGTAAGAATACTTTCCCAATCCCCTACCCCTTTTCTCCAATATTTCAAACAGGCCTCAATGAATTTGAAAGCCTTTGCACAGTTTTAATCACAGGTTAGTTATTGCTGTTGGTGACATCCTGGAGATTAATCTCTGAACTCCTGAAGATGCTAGGGTCTTAATGGGGACGTAAAGGACATCTCACTCTCCCAACCTGCAACATCCTTCATATGAAGAAACTTGTCAACATTGGGATCGCCAAGACCCTGAGATGATTCCCTGTCTCCAATGGGTCGATAGTGGAACTGCGTTTTTCTGTCTGTGCTCTAACACACTGCCTGGAATTTTCTTATGTTTATGAAGCAGGAGAATGTGGGCAAGGTGCACAGTGCCAGTTCTGGGCAGGCATTGATTAATTGATGGGATCGCTTTGGCTCTAGTGCCAATATTTAGCCTAATTAACTTTATTTTCCCTCTTTCTTTGTAAGGAACACCAAACCAAAGATAACCTTGTGTCTTACTTTTTTTTTTACTTTAGATAAAAGTGTGTAGATGTTTGCTGTATTAGTGTTACATTTTATAAGGGTTATTGTAGAAATTAAGTGGGATAGGAGATGTTTGTGAGCCTCTCCGAATGTGTTTGATATTTTTGTTCTGCACTGTGTTGAAGTCCAATACATTTCGAGCCAGTTGCTTGAAGTATGTCTTTCATTTCATGGTGTTCATTATTTGTACCCCCTGTGCCCAATAATATTTGCAAGATGAACTGCTATTGTCTGGAGTTGGAAGCTTATGAACAGAGGCTCATACTTAGCCAATGATGCACTTGGAGAAGTAGCCGCTGACATACCATTGGTGACTTAATTTTGTTTGTCCCATTTCACTGGTGTCTTTTACTGTTCTTGTACTTTTTTGTACGGAGATTAAACAAAGCGCTGCCGATGATTTATTGCATTTTCAAACTGATCTTTGTCACTTGTTGGTTACTTGTGTTTCTGACTCCACTGCATTTTCTAGCAATAACAAATAAAAACCTGCATTTATTTATTCAGTTCTTTTATTCCTTTGTGGTATGTTGATGTCACTGACTGGGCCACCATTTATTGTCCGTCCCTGGTTGCCCTTGAGAAAGTGCTGGTTTGTGACTTGTGAGGCCATTTCAGGAACACGTAAGAGTCAACTGCATTGCCGTTAAGTCTAGAATCACATGCAGGCCAGATCAGCATATTTTCTTCTCTAAAGGGCATTAGTGAACCAGATGGGGTTTTACAATGGTTAGTGAAGTTGCCATGGTTATTATTATATGTTCAACAGTCCCTTCAACTTTTTTTATTCCTTCATGAGACATGGGCATCACTGGATGGTCCAGCATTTATTGCCCATCTCTAACAGCCCTTGAGAGTGGTGGTGAGTGCCTTCTTGAACTGCTGCCGTCCATGTGCTTTGGGTTGACCTACAATGCTGGTAGAGAGGGAGTTCCAGGATTTTGATCCAGCGACACTAAAGGAATGGCAATATATTTCCAAGTCAGGATGGTGAGTGGCTTTGAGGAGAATTTATTGTGGTGTTCCCATGTATCGGCTACTCCTGTCCTTCGAGATGGTAGTAGTTGTGTGCTTGGAAGTGCTGTTTAGGGAGCCTTGGTGAGTTTTTGCAGCGCATCTTATAAATGGTACACACTGCTGCTACTGACCATCGGTGGTGGAGGGAGTGGATGTTGAAGGTGGTGGACGGTATGCCAGTCAAATAGAATGATTTGCTCTGGCTAATGTCAATCTTCATGAGTGTTGTAGAAGCTGCACTCAACCAAGTAAATGGGGAGTAGGATCAGGAGTAGGCTCTCAGACCCTTGAGCCTTCTCAATGTGATCACGGCTGATCTGTGGCCTAACTCTATGTACCATCTTAACAATGGATCCAGCATCCACTATTGTTTGTGGAAGAGACTTCTAAACATCTACCACACTTTGTGCATAGATGTGCTTCCTAGCATCTCTGGCAATAATTATCAGACTCTGTCTGAGTGGCTCAGTGGTTAGCACTGCTGCCTCACAGTGCGAAGGACCCAGGTTTGATTCCACTGTCAGGTGACTGTGTTTGTGGAGTTTGCATGTTCTCCCTGTGTCTGTGTGGAATTCCTCCGGGTGCTGTGGTTTCTTCCCACAATCTAAAGGTATGCAGGCTAAGTGGATTGGCCATGCTAAATTGCCCATA